CACCCAAACTCCCTCCCAGTGCCCGTCCCCTGCACCCCCTCCTGCACTCTAACTCCCTCCCAGAACCCACCCCCTGCATCCCAACCCCCTGCCCCAGCACAGACCCTGCACCCAAACTCCCTCCCAGTGCCTGTCCCCCGCACCCAAACCCTCTACCCCAGCCCAGAGCCCGCTGCACCTCAGTTCCTTCCCAGAGCCCATCCCCTGTACCCCCACCTCCAGTCCAGAGCCCACCTCCCACCCCCAAACACCCTCCCAGAGTCCTTCCCCCTCCTCAAACTCCCTCCCAGAGCCTTAGGCAGGGGGCAGGACTTGGACCTATTCTGGGCACCACCAAAAATTATACAAACCTGCCACCCCTGCCTGGGGATACACAGAGGTCTTCCAGAGGGTACATCAACTCATCTAAATACTAGCCTAGGTTTACAACAGGCTGCATAAAAAACAATAGCTAAGTCAGTACAAACTAAAATTCCATACAGACAAAATGAGAAAGTAAGCAATTTTTCAGTAATAGTGTACTGTGACATTTTTAGGTCTGATTTTGTAAGCAAATAGTTTTTAAGTGAGGTGAAATTTGGGATACACAAGACAAATCAGACTCCTGAAAGGGATACAGTAGTCTGGAAAGATTGAGAACCACTGATTTACAGTATCTCGGTCCTTTGTGCAAGGTTCTATTGTGTTGACTTAACTCACTTTCCTGTTATTCTTATACAGTTATCTACCTAGTAGTCCTTTTTAATTAAAATCTTTAACTCTTGATAATCCTTAGAGAAAAGTACAGTAAACCTAAAGCACAGCTGACTACCCTTAATAAGCAGCCTTCTATGAGACTTCTCCAAAGTATCCTCCTATATATTTAAATTACATGACATTAGCCTTTAAATTATTCATCAGTAGAAAGATCAAGTAAAGGGGAAACCCCACCACTGAGATTGCCTACTAGCATAGCACAATTTTAGTGGTATATTAAATTTCAGATCTAAAAAGATCTTGTCAAATCCAAAAGCTTGTCTCTCTCACCAACAGAAGTTGTTCCAATAAAAGATATTACCTCACCCACCTTGTTTCTCTAATATCCTGGGACCAACACAGCTACAACAACACTGCATACAATATTGCCTCTCATGATATTTGGGGAAGGGGGAACGTGTTTCAAGGCAGTGGTCCTGTACTGAAGATTACTTTATAATTTCAGCACCATAGTTGGCTCAAACAGTTAAAAATCCCATCACTGAGCTGTTAAAAGTGGACTTCTGAGCTAAAACACTGGCGTTTAAAGGGGCTAAAATCTCTGACAAAACAGCTTGTTGCAACTCTAGTCAACTTATTGCTAAGGGTGCTCAGATTTCCCTGCTTTTGAAATTCAATTATTTATCAAGACAACAGAAGGCCTACTCCTGCACTCTCAGAAATTAATGGGATTTTTTTCACTGACTTCAATAGGAGCAGGATCAAGCCATACTATCCCGCTGCCACAATGCTGATTTCTTCCCACAGCTAAAGGAAGAAAGATGGTTAGTGATTAAGGCTCTGTGTTGAGAAATGTGGGGTCATTTCCGAGTTCTACCATAGACTTACTATCATTTAATCCGTTTATATACATCTGTAAATGTTTCCCCAACTTCCCCGTAGTGTTGTAAGAATAAATCCATAAATAGTGGGGTGATGCTCAGGTACTTCAGCAATGGAGGCTACTATTTTTCTGCTGCACGGTTGGTGCTTTATTTCACCTCCCTAAGGCCAGACTGTGCTGCTCTTATTTATGTTGAGCAATCCTTTGCACCACAAGTACGTCCCACTGATGTCAACAGAATGTAGGGTGCAAAGTACTATTCGATATTCATAAAGACATCACAATCTGGCCCACAGTTAATAAGTTATTTAAGGGCAAGATAATTTAATTATTGTGAGCATGGAACAGATTAAGCTGAAAAGCATTGATTACACAAAGCTTTTCTTGTACAGCACTAGTGTACAAACATGAAAACACACCTCCTCTGACTTCACACACCCAAAAATGTTTACTGTTTAGCTGGAGAGGCTCTAGGAAGTCATAAAAGAAATCAAACACCATGTACATGCAGGTTTAAAAATAGATTAGACTCTAGCATGAGCCAATACTCTCCTACAAGACCTTCCATCTTGCCTTTTTTTTCTCTGTACCAAAATATGGCATATAAAAAGGAATACAATGAAGATTGATACATAGTTGGTCTCTACATGGAAGTATTTAAACTCATGCAGGATATTAAACATTTAAAATGCCATGTTGATGGATAAACTAAAATGAACCTATCCCTGTGCTGCCCTATATATATACACACACACACTCCAAAAGAGAGAGAATTACACCCAAATTCATCTGCTTCTGGTGGTGTAATGTGCAATACAGACATAGCTTTCCATTCAAACAAGCTGACATGCCTAGCAGGCATTGACACTGAAAGCCAGTGATCTCTCTGCATCGCACTGCCCTACAAAGACCACCAATGCCAGGAAGCAGCACGGGCCGGAGAATAGCAGCTGGCTACGTTTCCCCTCACCGCCAACTTCCCAGCACCTGCTGTACAGGTCCCAACAGGTGCACAGCGGCCGCTTTTGCAGGCCCCCCGTGGGGGCGGGCTGGCCAGTGACGGCGGGGCGTGGGGGCGCTGGCCAGGGGAGCCGGGGCGGTGGCTCTGTGCGTAGGGGGAAGCCCGCAGGGGGCGGGGGCTGGGCTCACCTCGCTTGTTCCTGGTGCCGTGCTGCTTGGCCGCGGCCAGCTCCCTCTGGATCCTGGTCTCCAGATACTCCTGCTTCTTGGTGAGCATCTCCTCGGTCTCCCGCAGCCGGGCTAAGGCCTCCTGGGGCGTGGGGCCCGCGCGCCCCTTGGCGCGCCCGGGGCCGCCGCCCTTGAACAGCTTGCCGAGCTTACTCATGGCGACGCGGGGGCAGTGGCGGTCCGGGCTCGGCGCTGCAGCCCCTGGGGGTCGCTCAGCGAGCCGCCAGCGGCCCGGGCATTTCCCGACTGGCCGGCCTGAGCAGCGCTGGGAGGAGGCGGAAGCTGCTAGGCAGGGAGGCGGGGGGACCACGTGACGCTCCCCACACCTGGGCCAGGTGTCACCGGAGACTCCGCCTCCTCTGAGCCCTTTGGACCCTCTCTGCGCATGCGCCTCCGGGAGGCGGCTGCCCAGGGTGATCCCCTGCCCGGCTGCTTCTTCCCCTGGCCCCAGTCAGCTGACCCCAAGCGGGACCATCGACGGCGATCGCTCTGCCCCAGGCCAGAGTCCCCCATCTCCAGCTGTTACTGGGGGGCTCACCCTGCCTGCACTAGCCTGGTTCAGTTATGTTCCCCTCCATCGCCAGCGCCCTGGACGGTAAAAAGGAGCTGGAACCCCAGCCTGAGGCATCACCTCTCCCATTGCTCGCTCCTTCGCAATCCCTGTGCAAGACAGATGGGCAATTAGTGGGGGGAAGGGGTCAGAGAGCTGAGCGGAAGAGGGGATGGGCAGATAAGAAGCCCTCAGTGGTGAAATAACAGGTTAAGGACTATTTAGAAAAGCTGGACATACACAAGTCTAGGGGCCGGATGCACTGCATCCGTAGGCGCTGGGGGAGTTGGCTGATATGATTGCAGAGCTATTGGCCATTATCTTTGATAACTCATGGTGATCGGGGGAGGTCCCAGACAACTGGAAAAAGGCAAATACAGTGCCCATCTTTAAAAAAAGGGAAGAAAGAGAACCCGGTCAGTCCCACCTCAGTTCCTGGAAAAATCATGGAGCAGGTCATCAAGGAATCCATTTTGAAGCACTTGGAGGAGAGGAAGGTGATCAGGAACAGTCAGCATGGATTCACCAAGGGCAAGTCATGCCTGACCAACCTTATTGCCTTCTATGATGAGATAACTGGCTCTGTGGATATGGGGAAAGCAATGGACGTGATATACCTTGACTTTAGCAAAACTTTTGATACGGTCTCCCACAGTATTCTTCCCAGCAAGTTAAAAAAGTATGGATTGTATGAATGGACTATAAGGTGGATAGAAAGCTAGCTAGATCGTCGGGCTCAAAGGGTAGTGATCCCTCAATGTCTAGTTGGTAGCTGGTATCAAGCAGAGTGCCCCAGGGGTCGGTCCTGGGGCCAGTTTTGTTCAACATCTTCATTAATGATTTGGATGATGGGATGGATTGCACCCTCAGCAAGTTCACGGGTGACACTAAGCTGGGGGGAGAGGTAGATATGCTGGAGGGTAAGGATAGGGTCCAGAGTGACCTAGACAAATTGGAGGGTTGGGCCAAAAGAAATTTGATGAGGTTCAACAAAGACAAGTTCAGAGTCCTGCATTTAGGACAGAAGAATCCCATGCACGGCTACAGGCTGGGGACCGACTGGGTAAGTGGTAGTTCTGCAGAAAAGGACCTGGAGATTACAGTGGACGAGAAGCTAGATATGAATCAACAGTGTGCCCTTGTTGCCAAGAAGGCTAACGGCATATTGGGCTACATTAGTAGGAGCATTGCCAGCAGATTGAGGGAAGTGATAATTCCCCTCTATTCGGCACTGGTGAGGCCACATCTGGAGTATTGCGTCCAGTTTTGGGGCCCCCACTACAGAAAGGATGTGAACAAATTGGAGAGAGTCCAGTGGAGGGCAATGGAAATGATTAGGGGGCTGGGGCACATGGCTTATGAGGAGAAGCTGAGGGAACTGGACTTATTTAGTCTGCAGAAGAGAAGAGTGAGGGGGGATTTGATAGCAGCCTTCAACTACCTGAAGGGGGGTTCCAAAGAGGATGGAGCTCAGCTGTTCTTAGTGGTGGCAGATACAGAACAAGGAGCAATGGTCTCAAGTTGCAGTGGGGAAGGTCTAAGTTGGACATTAGGTAAAACTATTTCACTCGGAGGGTGGTGAAGCACTGGAATGGGTTACCTAGGGAGGTGGTGGAATCTCCATCCTTAGAGGTTTTTAAGGCCCGGCTTGACAAAGCCCTGGCTGGGATGATTTAGTTGGGGCTGGTCCTGCTTTGAGCAGGGGGTTGGACTAGATGACGTCCTGAGGTCTCTTCCAACCCTGATATTCTATGATAAGAAGCTGAGGAGGAGTAATAACAGGTGAGGGGGTGGATGAGCAGGAAGAGGGGCATTGGGAGAAAGTTGCTAATGTTGGTTGGATGTATTCCTGGACATAATGACACATGACAATCCTTAATTAAAGATTTATTTAATTCCCAGAGATGCCAGGACAATATGTACATGCATATGGGCTGGAAGAGCACAGTGGGGGGCTGTATGCACATACATATAGGGCTTGAGGAGCAGACTAGGAAGGTGGAGGGAACAGAAGAGCAGACCAACCCTGGGTGCAGAGAGATGGACAACAGCTGCCTCTGCACCTGATGGGGGCTGGCAAGCAGATCAGTGGATTAACCATGGGTTCTAAAATGGTGCTGAACACAGTTTGCCTTTGGTTATGCTTGCAGTTAAACCATGTTCAGCAACTTTTCAGCTGCACTCATTGCTGACCCCTGGATAGTTTTCACAGTGTAGAGTACAGATGGCACAGGGCTCCAAGTTCAGTGCTGTGCAGGCTCACCAGTTACAGTAGGCCTAGTTGTGGTGTCACACTGCTCCATCATCACACGTTTCAGCTGACCCATATGAGGAACAACCTGTGTGCATAATCCCTGTGGTCACATATGCCATGTTATACTAAAGACCTGTTAGGGAGCAGAGCTGGCACAGAGCAAAGCATCTATTTATTGTGCTCTTATCTATTCCTTTCTCATGAGCTATGCACTGATCCTTGTAGATCTGAAACATGCCTTTATTGACAGTCACACAATCTTTAATAACATTGCATAATTCGAATCTTATGCAATACAGTTATTTACTATTCACAATATTCTTCACATGCTCTTCTCTGCAGAAATAGTAGTTTTATTATTACTGAACAAAAACTTCCATTTTCACAATTTCAGACCAAAAGGGTAAAACAAAAATTAATAAAATAGAAAATAAATAAGTTTGACTTCCACAATGTTATACAATGTTACTTGAAAGGAATTTAATAACCTTATTCTTAAGGCTGTAAGTGCCCAATTCAACTTTATTCTTTACATTCCAATAACATCCATAATGTGCTAGTGTGACCGGGGTTCCACAGGAGCCTCAATGAGGTTACTCAATTAGGGTAAACTGCAAGAATGGGGCAGACAATCCCCAAAGCTGGTGGATATTCCAATATGTAGATTTACCAAGCCAGCACAAACAGCTTCTATAATACCTTACTGGTTACCCAGAAGCCAACAACACAGTTCCCTTAAAGCAACCCAGCCTCAGGCCTCCACCCAGACACCCAAGTCAAATATGATGAGGATTACTGAATATCTTATTCATCATAAGAAAGTTCTACCAATCCCAAAGGATCAGACACATTACCTGCCAGATTAAGAAATATTCCAGATCTTACCCACATACACACTTACAGCCAATCCTTATTAACTAATCTAAAATTTATTAAAAAGGAAAAGAGAGAGAGTATTGGTTAAAAGATCAGTATACATACAGACATGAGTACAGTTCTGAGATCAGATTCATAGTAGAAATGGTGAGCTTTGTAGTTGCAAAGAGTTCTTTCAGAAATAGTCTATACATTGTAGTCCAATGTTCATATTCCGGGTGATCCAGATGGGACTGGAGATCTCAGTCTTATGACTCAAGCTTCCCCTGGATAAAGCATCGAGCAGATCTGAGATAAAAAGGATCAAGACCCAAGGCTTCTTTATACAGTTCCAGGCCTTCTCTTGACAGCTCCGAGTCCTTAGGCGAACAATAGACAATCATGGAGACTTTGAAATAGACCTATTTCCTAAGCATCACCAGTAATTAGTTACAGGGATTAACATAAGGCAATTGCCTGTTTTCCACCATTCTGAGATGATTGCTATACATTTCAAAGAAAATGAATACAGTGATATCACTATATTTATAGTTAATTTAAATGTTAAGGTTTCCTTTTGATCTCTGAATTAACAGGATACAGCATAGGCAGGGACTGTTTGATTACATTGTTAACCTCTAACAATCTATATGTAAACATACAAAACACAAATATTATCTACCAATATGTCCCTAAAGGTTGAATTTGGGTCATTTAACCTGCAGGATGCTTAACCCTTTCTGGCCATGTGTCACAGCTAGGCTTTTTCCACACCCACACACAAATACACAGTCCTTCATTAAGAATCTAACTAAATAAAGCTTTCTAAAAAGTTTCTCAACAGCTTGTGCAATTTTTCATTTTCCAGCTTCATGCTGTAATGAGTGTTTTTAATAATTATGCCTATTTCTTATATAGATCAGTAGATTTCAAAGCACTTCATCTTTTAATGTATTTAGCCTTACCACACCTATATGAGGTAGGGAAACATTATTATTCCCATTTTAATGGTGGGGAAACTGAAGCACAGAGAGGCTAAGTGACTTGCCTAAGGAACACCAGAGGTGCATGATAGAGCAGGGAACTGAACACTAGTCTCCTATACCCAGGCTAGTGCCCTAACCAGCAGACCATGGTTCCCCTCAAAGGGCAAACTACACACATAGGGAACTTTTTCAGAAAGATGACCACTCTTATTTTGGTTTCACATAGCTAAATTGCCAAGAATGTATTGTTGATTCATGGATCCAATAAGAGACACAACAGGGGACAGATTAACGTGTCTGCCCTCTGACTTCAATGGAGCTCCTAATACAAATACTAGATTTGGCAGCAAGTGTTCCCGGAAGACATATGCCAGATGTTAATCATGTTGCTTAGTGCATTACTGGCATATGCTCAGCTACTATGGTGATGAGGCTGGTATAAGAACCTGAATAAAACAGAATAGGATTGGGCAAATAGATTGTAAATTGATTGGGACAGGGATTTATCAGTATTCAAAGCACCATGCACATGTAAGGTGCTCTATAAGTAAATAATAATATCCTAACTTAAAAAAAAGAGAGTTGTCCTCATTCTTTCCCTTTGCACTTATATACTTCTGAAATTAGGCC